ATCAATAACGTCATTTCCCTGCCCCCATCCCCATGGGTTGCCATTCCTAGCCAGGCCATGTTCCTGGCACCTTGGGTCAGATGCTGCCCCAAGTCCCAGCCTGACATACCATCCTGCTCCTCTGGGTGGGGTGTGCTGATGAGCCCCCTGCAGCCATCAGCCACCCAGCACCCCACAGACAGCAAAGCCTGGTGCCCCCACTGGGCCCCCTCAACCTGGAAGACTGGTTTTGATTCCTTGAAACTATTTCAGATGTTAGGTATATATAAATGTTTGGCTTGTGCGCAAAAGACCTTATAAAAATGTAGTTGTAGGTAAAAGCACTCTTGTTTGTGCCAATCATTTATCAAACAGAGGAGCTGTGGCCCCTGATTTATTCCTGACCGACCACCTGGAGAGAAACAGTTAAGTTACAACTGCTTATTTTTCTGAAAACCCTGGGTACCAGGCCTGCCCCAGGATGGTAGAATCATAAGACAGCCAGGGGCTACAGAGGGTGCCGGGGAGGCAGCAGGAGGGAAACGAGATCAAGAGCTTTGGAGACTTGTGGGAAGGGTCTCCCCATTCTTGGAAAGGACCCCCCCCACCAAGTTACAGACACCATGGAAAGGCCCCTGCCAGCACTCAGCAATGAGGGGCCAGGCCAGAAGCTAGCGCTGCCCTCCCCCCTCCCCCCCAGATGGTGCAAGCTGGGCTCACAGCACCCTGCTCAGGACAGTGCAGTGTGGAGCTGTGGGGGGTACTGGGGCAGCACAGCTGGGAGAAGGTGCCAAGTTCATGGGCAGTGCTCTGCAGAGGAGTGACACGCTGTCTGTACATGGCTCAGGGATGCTCCTTGTGGGGGCTAAGAAATGGGGGAGCCACCACCCAGCAGGACACCTGGCAGGTTGGACGTGGGTGCCCTGCTGGAGACCACCAGGGACAGGTGGCTGGACTCCGAGCTGCCCTGTGGGGGACTCAGCCCTGAGATAAGGACAAGGACCTGGAGCCAGGAGGGGCGTCGACACCAGCTGTCATGGCCCTGGTGTGGCCATGTTGGCCTATGGCTTTGCCTCTCAGTGCTGAGTCTGGGGACCTTCCGAGGCTGCAACCAGGAGACAGGCCGCTAGTGTTGCAGCTGCACCTGGAGGGGGCAGTCCAGCCTTGCACAGGGGTCTGGCTGGGCTGCACTTGCTGCGAGGAGCCCCACAGAGACAGAGATCGCTACGTTGAAGTCCCAGTAGTGGAGTCCAGAGGCCTGCCCCACTGGAGCTGGGGTAAGGAGCTGGGGGCATTGCCAAGGGACTGGTGACAGACTGGGAACAACCCCCGTGCCAGGGCCCATGGTGAACTGTCACTCACACTCCCCTTCCCACCGCTGAGGCTTTCTGAGCCATGCTGGGGCCAGAGCCCCTCGTAGACAGGGACTGAGACCTTGAGCATGGCACTCCAGCCTGTGGGGAGGTAAGCAGTGAGCAGGGAACCCTGGTTGCCAGAGCCCTGGTTCCTGCTGCGCCCTGGCCCAGCCAGAGCTCAGAGCTTCCCTGGCTGGAAGGGCCCATTGCAATCAGCTAGGCTGAGCCCTGCAAGGCTAGGCCAGAGACAGCAATTCCTGGCAGAGTGGTTAGACATAGCCCTTCTGGAGCTAGAAACTGTCAGTGATGGAGACTCCACCACAGCAATGGCTCCAGTGACTAATTCCCCTCAACGTGAAACAGTTACACCTGATCTGTCTGGCTGCAGCTTCCAGCCCTCGGCTCATGTCAGACCTTCCTGTACCAGAGCAATGACCGTAGGTACCGTCAGACTGGGATCCCCATGCCCTCTTTCCTGCCCGTGGCCCAGCCCACTGGCTCCTCCACCACAGCGTCTGACACTGGCTGGTGCCCAGGCCTCTTGGCTCCGTCCGCTCCTGGTTCTCCATCTCCCATCACTCATCCAGGGTGGGGGACCCCCCAGACTTTGCCCTTAACCCTTCTCTTTGCTCTGGTGGTGGTTCTGGCTCCACTTGCCACTCCTGCTGCCTGTTCATAGTGCCACCTCTCTGCTATGCCAACCTCTGGGTAGGCCTGCTGCTCTTTCTGTAGGGCCAGGTGGTGGCTGAAGGTCAGGCCAGCCAGGAGCAAGCTGCTCTCTTCTCCCCATAGACCATCCCCCATGATACACAGAGGCCCTGTAGTGCTACTGCCTGTCCCCACTCTCCTCCCTGCCCAAGCAGCTCCAGCTGACTCGGCCCTGGGACATGTGCCCAGCTGTGGTCCAAGTACCAAGTGTCCTGCCCCCAGGGCAGCAGTAGCCACTGGCAGCAAGGATAGGGAAATCTTGCTTCCTGCTGCCACAAAGTGGAAGTTTTCTGCCGTTTTTATGATGCCTGTGCATGCCTCAGTTTCCCTCTGTACTTTGCATTGCGGCCCTGTGAATGCTGTGACGAACTGGGACTGTTCTTGGTGTGGTCTTTGAATGCTGACTGGGGAGTGTTGGCTGCGAAGGCAGGGGAGTGTGACTAGGATGGTCTGCATTGGGGGATGGGAGACTGGCCGTGAGGGAGAATACCTGAGCATGTAATATGAGAACCCAGGAAGGGGTTAGAGGCCAGGTGATACCTTTGCCCGGGAAACTGAACAAAGGCTGTGGGAGGGGACACTGGAGGGAGTTTCAGAGCTGGCTGGTGGAATGGCTGGGAGGCAGATGGGGCTCTGACCCCCAAGGGGGCTGTGGTGCCCTGGGACCCCAAGATGCACCTAATTGGGGGGGGGGGGATCCTGTTGTCTGTGCCTGCAAGACCTGTCTTGGACTGTGTTCCTGTCATCTAAATAAACCTTCTGCTTTACTGTCTATCTGAGAGTCATGGTGAATCGCAGGAAGCCGGGGGTGCAGGGCCTTGTGTCCCCCCACACTGCGTGACAATGCAAAGGGGATGAAATGCCGCTCTTGGGACAGAGAAGGAGCCATGAGGGGCAGGGACAGTGAACCACCTAGAGGACCTGGAAAGATAATGGGCGCCCCAGGGATGTCACAATTAACTCCCAGCCATGGAAGTGGGGTGTCTGAAGTCAGCCTGACCCTGAGTTTGCTGGCCCAAGATGTCAGCAGTAAGAGCCAACTGCGCAGCACTCACCTGGGGCAGAGCAACACCTGCCTGCAGGACACCGTGGCTGGGTGAAGCTGTCTCAGCCTTGGCTGTTCCTGATGACTCAGAAATCCTGTTCTGACTGGACAAGGCTGCTGTGTGTCACTGCCAACACTGGCTGGGTACTGGGAGCGTGAGGGTGAAAGTCTCCCCCAGGCTTCTGGCTCAGCAGGCCAGGGTAGGCAGGAGGCGGTGAGAATGTCTGGCCTGCCCTGACAGAGGGGGGCCCCTTGGGGGCTGGCCCTGAAGGGGTTCCTCCAGGGCCTGATCCTGGAGCTTTGAGACACCTGGCTATGCCCTGGCTGGGCTGGGCTGGGCTGGGCTGTGAGACACCCCACGGAGGGGGCAGGCTCACAGGATGGTCTGTTCTCAAGGTGCAGGTGCAGTGTAAAGCCAGCCAGCCCAGGGAGGGGAGAGTTTGCATTAGGACACCTCCTACCTTCCTTCCCCAGGGCCTTTCCCAGTTCTGCAGGAGGGGCCCTGGTGGCTCCTCCTCCCCCCACCCAGCCCCACAGCCTGCTAGCGAAGGGGGCCCCTGCTGCAACGGAGACCCAGCCCCTCCTCCCAGGGGCAGGCCGCACCCTTAGGGATAAGTTGACTCAGACACAAGATGAGCCGTGGGTTTATTGGAAACAGGTTACAGGGCTTGGGCAGAGGCGGAGCACAGCCCGTCAGCACTGCAGGTGCTGGAGCAGCCAGAGCACCATGTTCATAAAGCCATCAGCCTCAGCCTCAACGCCGGAGAGCGCATGGCTGTTCCTAGGGTACAGCAGCAGCCTGTGGAGAAGGAGAAGGCTTGGCAAGGTACCCCGGAACCAGCTCTCCAGGACCCACCCACCCACCCACACCTGGGCACAGACCTGCACCCCCTGCCACCTCCTCATGGACCTCCCCTGCCTGCCCACCCACGGATGCACCAGGACACCCCCGCCCCCCATCACCTCCCCAGGGACCCCTACCTGTCAGGGCACTCATCAGGACCCCCCATGCACCAGGGCACACACCAGGACCCCCTGCTTGCCGGAGCATGCAACCTAGACCCCCCCCAGGACTCCTGCACTGGGACCCACCCCGCCCATGTGGGATATACCAACTCCCCGCAGCCACCTGAGCCTCCAGCCAGCTTCCCTCATATAACTCCAGCTTCCTCCCGCCCCAGTGATCTGGTTCCTCCCTTGGTGCTCCCTCCCTTGGTGTTCCATTGGTGATACCAGCCCCACTGGCCTCATTGCCCCTGAGCACCCAGCTTGTCTCCCCCCCACTCCAGCCACGGCCCCTGCACCAATCAGTTCTCTCCCCCCAGCCAATCCCCATGTCCTGTCCCCCGTGGACTCACCGGGTAGGAACGCCCCTGGCCTTGAGAGCACGGTAGTACTCCAGCCCCTGCTTGGGGGGGACACGCCTGTCCTCTTCTCCCAGCATCAGGAGCACAGGTGCCCGGACCTGTGGGGAGAGCGGTGCAGAGAGCTGGATCCCACAACCAGCACTGGGGCCCCACACCAAGATGAGGAGGGGTGTGTGTATCTCTGACCAGGGAGAGAGGGTCAAGGTCAGGGTCTCTGAACAGGGTTTCAGAGCAGGGGGGTAGGACGGGTTCCCTGGGGTGCAACCGGGTGGTGGCTAAGAACAGTCAAAGTTTGTTATTTTCTGTTTGCTTATTTCAGGAAAGGGAAATGGGGACAAAAAAGCAGAAAGATGAGTGAGAGTGAAGCAGTTGCAAAATTGATGCTGTACAAACTGCAAGCAGCAGAAAAAGAACATCAGAGACTTTTGGAACTAAAACAGGGTGCAACTGGGGTACCACTGAGCCCTCTGTCTTACCAACCTGGGCTCCCTCTCACACTGCTGCTGTGACAAACTGCAAATCTCTCCAGGTACTGCACTCACACAGCCATCCATGGGCAGGGACGAACCCAGCTCAGTTACATCAATGCTTTTGCCAGTCACTCATGAACTAACAATAGAGACTTCAGCCAATTCCTCCCAGCTCCCCAGCCTAGGACCCCAGGGCTGTATGTCTTGCCCTGGTCAGAAGCCTGGCTAATGTAAATTCATTGCCCAGTCTGCTACTTCTACAATTTAAAGTGAATGGGCACCAGCCCTTGCAACCTGAGCAGATTTTCCAAGCACTTCAACCAAAATGCACTGTTTTAGGGAAAAAATTTAAAACTTATTTCTTAGGTAACCAACTTTCATCTGTATGCTTACTGCTTATAAACACTTAAAATCTATCTTTCTGTAGTTAAGTAAATAAAATTGCAATCTGAGTTCTATAAACTAAACAGGATTTGAATCAAGCAGCATCTCACCTCGACATACAATACAAGCAGGTGACAGATCTTCCATACACAGACTGGAACTTTCCTTCAGCCTGGGACCATCTCCCCAGTTCTGTCTTTTTCCTCCAGATGTACTTCCAGGTGTTGAATTGTGGGGGGAGAGAGGCCAGGTTGGTAAGCCAGACTGGGCTCAGCAGTACCCCAGTTCCAGGTTGCACCCTGGGGAACCGGTCACAGTGAGCAGGGTGAAATGCACAGTTTGTTGTTCTGAGTGAGATTTGCATTTCATACACTGGTGTAGAGATTTTAAGTGTGGTGGCTAAGAACAGTCAAAGGGAAGGTTACCGGTTTGTTATTTTCTGTTTGCTTATTTCAGGAAAGGGAAATGGGGACAGAAAAGCAGAAAGATGGGTGAGAGTGAAACAGTTGCAAAATTGATGCTGTACAAACTGCAAGCAGCAGAGAAAGAACATCAGAGACTTTTGGAACTAAAACAGCTGGAAGTTGAGGCTCACTTGAGGCCTTTAAAGGATAGATATAAACTGGTCATTAACACGTTTAGGCTTGAAATTACGGGAAGGTTTCTAACCATCAGAGGAGTGAAGTTCTGGAGCAGCCTCCCAAGGGGAGCAGTGGGGGCAAAAAACCTAATTGGCTTCAAGACTGAGATTGATACATTTATGGAGGGGATGGTATGACAGGACTGCCTACAATGGTGTGTGGCCCATCAGCGACTGCCTGTAGCAAAAATCCCCAACGGCTAGAGATGGGACACTAGATGGGGAGGGCTCTGAGTTTCTACAGAGAATTATCTCCCAGGTATCTGCCTGGTGGGTGTTGCTCAGAGTCTAACTGATCATTATATTAATGGTTGTGAAGGAATTTCCCCCCGAGACAGATTGGCAGAGACCTTGGGGGTTTTTCACCTTCCTTTGCAGCATGGGGTATGGATCACTTGCAGGTTTAAACTAGTGTAAATGGTGGATTCTCTGTAACTTGAAGTCTTTAAATCATGATTTGAGTTCAGTATCTCAGCCAGCAGTTATGAGTCTATTACAGGAGTGAGTGGGTGAGGTTCTATGGCCTGCAATGTGCAGGAGGTCAGACTAGATGACCACGATGGTCCCTTCTGACGTTAGCAAGAGTATCTGAGTAAGAATATACATTACAATATATATATATATACACATATATATATATATACACACACATATATATATATATATATACACATATATATATATATATATATATATATACACACACACACACAATTATATTACAATATAAACCTAACCAGTGTCCCTTAAGTGACTTGCCACAAGATGTCAGAACATGTTAGTATTAGAGCTGAGTGGGTCTAATATTTATTTAATTTTCTTTCTTGATATAGGAATTAGTTACAGTGCTCCTGTCAGATGATTTCTAAATTATTATCTGCAAAAAAACCCAAACTACTACAGTTTTCAGTTACTTAAGTAGCCCCTGGAATCACAGTTAAAGTTGCTCCCCCTGTCCCCAAAAAATCTGAAATGGCGCCCCTGTGGGCCGGCACAGAATTTGTCCCCCTCCGCCCCCCATGCGTGGCCCGGTTAGCTTGACTGGAGCCACCCCCCCAAATATAGAAGTCAAACTACCCCATGATTGTATGTGGAGTTATGAAGTTTTAAAATGTGTGTGTCACTGAAATATGTTGTGAGCTTGGGAACACCCACAACCAGCCTTTCAAGTGCCACAATGGAACAGCGAGATGCTGCTGATGACCCATTAAAGGAATCCACACTCCCAAGGACAATTCCAGTATACAATGGATACCTCTCTTAGGCCTTGGCTACACTGGCGCTGTACAGCGCTGCAACTTGCTGTGCTTAGGGGTGTGAAAACGACCCTCCCTGAGCACAGTGAGTACAGCGCTGTAAAGCGCCAGTGTAATCAGAGCCTGCAGCGCAGGCTAGGAAGTCCCGAGTGTAGCCAAGGCCAGAGATAGCATGTAGATAATGGAGACTGCTTGATACACAGGATCTTTCCAGCAAGCTTGAAGAAGCAATAAAAGGGGGAAGTAACATCATCGCTTGGCCTCTCTCCCCCCACAACTGAACACCTGGAAACACATCTGGAGAACAAAGACTGAACTGGGGAAGTGGTCCCAGGCTGAAGGAGTCCCAGCCTATATACAGAAGATCTGTAACCTGCTTGTATTATCTATCTGGGTGAGACACTGCTTGATTCAATTCCTGTCTAGTTTATAGAACTCAGATTGTGATTTTACTTTTATTTCCTAGGTAACCAACTTTGATCTCTATGCCTGCTACTTAGAATCACTTAAAAATCTGTCTGTTTTATATTTTACCTAAAACAGTGCATTTTGGTTGAAGTGCTTGGGAAATCTGCTCAGGTTGCAAGGGCTGGTGCATGTCCACTTTCCTTTGTAGAAGTGGCAGACTGAGTAATGAATTTACACTGGCCAGGCTTCTGACCAGGGCAAGATAGTACAGCCCTGGGGTCCTAGGCTGGGGAGCTGGGAGGAATTGGTTGGAGACTCTCTGTTGTTGGATCATTAGTGTCAAAAGCATTCATGTAACTCAGCTGGGTGTATCCCTGCCTGTGGATGGCTGTGTGTGTGCAGGACCTGGAGAGGTTTGCAGTTTGTCACAGCAACACAGTGTGAGAGAGAACCCAGCTTGGTAAGACAGAGGGGTCAGTAGTACCCCAGTTCTAGATTGCATCCTGGGGAACCCATCACAGGGGGGTGCAGAGTCTCTGAGCGGTGGTGGGGCTCCATACCTGGGCGACGTACTGCATGGGTGACTTGTGGAGCATCTCTGCCCAGTGGGAGGCATCCGGGAGGGTGTCGGGTGCATAGGGGAAGCCGGCCTCAGTCAGACACCTGCAGAGGCAACAGAGCCCGGCTCAGGGCGGGACCCAGTCTGTGCCTGGTGCAGGGGGTGGGGAGGGTCTGAGCCCCAGGCACTCACCAGTCCGGGATGTCGGTGCCGCTGATCATGGAGGCCATGTTGACGACCGGGTTCCTTGCCACACAGGCCTGGTAGGTGCCTGGGTACTGGCCGATGAGGTGGCAAGCAAGGAAGCCCCCATGTGAGCCACCCACTAGTGCCACCCGCGCTGAGTCTAGGGGCTCCTCCTGCAAGCACCTGCTCCACGCAGTACTGCAATGGGATGAGATGGGCAGTGCCATGGGGCAGCCAGGGAGGTCTCGGGAAGGGGGGGGGCGGGCCAGGGCGGTCTCAGGAGGGGGCAGCCAGGCCTGGAAGGGGGCACCCAGAGTGGGCAGGGGGGAAGCGCTGGGATGGGGCCAGGATCTGACAGGCTGGCTGAGCCCATCTCCCCCTACTAAGTTCCTGGGCGGGAGGTGCCCAGAGGGAGCAGCCTGGTCCCCTGGCTGTGGGTCACACTGTCCCAGACCCTGCGGGGGAGCTTGGGGGGCAACCACTACCTGCACGTCTTTGACATCCTGGCAGCCCACGTGGCCGGGCAGGGAGGCGACGCTGTCCTGGCCAAAGCCCAGTGAACCGCGGTAATTCACTGGGGGGAGAGAGTTCAGTGTGACAGGAGAGCCCCTGCCAGCCCCCCTGCAGCAGGGGTTCATGACTGTACAGAACTGGCTTGCCACAGCCAGTCCCCAGCCATGCTCGGGGAGCAGGGTGCCCACCAGGAGACCCCACCCCTTGCCAAGGGGCACCTAGCTGCAGGCCTGCGACCCGGGGGGGTGGGGGTGGGGAGCAGCAGCCGAGTGCTGTGGGGCTGGCCTGGCCTGGGCACTGCGCCCTCCTGCCGGCTGCCCCAGGGATGCTGACGGTGCCTGGGGTGCTGTCCCAAATGGCCATCCCCATGTTGGTGCTGCATTCTAGGAGCTCAGGCTCCCTGTGCCTCGGCCCAGCTGTGCCCTCAGCCCTCTCCAGGGGGATCCAGGGCACACTCTGAGTAAGCCCTGGCCCAGCAGTTCCTCCCTAGGGTGCTGTGCCCAGGGAGCTGGCAGGGGCCGAACACGGCCAGGCCTAGGGAGCCCACAGCCACCACTTCGCCAGGCCTTGGCTGCATCATGCGTACCCACTGTGGCTCCGGCAGGACTCACCCAGGAGCACAGCGAAGCCGATCCTGCAGAGCGCTGCGGGGTACAGCATCCAGCTGGCTGTGCAGACGGAGTGTGGGCCTCCTGCAAGGCGAGGGCAGAGGAGTGAGGGGCTGGAGCATGGGGCAGAGCCCAGAGCGAAGGGGCTCGTAGGGAGTGTGTAATGTAGTTGTTCGGACATGGTGTCTGGCAGGGAGGGGGAAGAGATGGGTGAGCAAAGCGATTCTGCTGCTAGGCTCCCCCAACACATGACTGCCTTAAACAGGCGGTTTTCAGGGGAGCATGGACCGGGGGGCATCTGCTGGCCCCGCTTACTCCCTGAATGGCGAATGAATGACTGTTGGCACGAGGGGCTGTCTGGGAACTGGGGACAAGACACGCTCAACAGGGCGACAGAGCTCTGGGGACCAGGGCAAAACAGGAAACTAAGGGCCCCCAACCCTCCAAAACAATTACTATGGGGACAAAAGAGTAAAAGAAGAGGGAAGGGGCTTTGGAGTTGGGGAGCCCAGGCCTGGGGGTAGCTGCACTCCCTGTAGGGCTGAGGAGTTTGGGGACCCAGGTCCAGAGGGTGGCTGCATTCCTTGTGGGGCTGGGGGAGGGTCAGAGGTCATAGGCCTGTGGGGTGGCTGCACTCCCCGTGGGGCTGGAGTGTCAGAGGGCCCAGGCCTATGGAGTGGATGCACTCCCCATGGGCCTGAGGGGTTTGGGGGCCTAGGCTCGTGGGGTGGCTGCGCTCTATGTGGGGCTGAAGGTTTGGGGGGGGGGGGGTCCAGGACCATTGGGCGGCTGCGCTCCCTATGGGGCTGGGTGGGCTCTTGCATCCAACCTGGGGACAGTTCTCGGTCCCACCTCTGCCTGAGCTCTGTCCCTGCCACGAAGGGTGTGGTATCCCTACCCTGACCCTGCTCCAGGCTCAGCCCAGCGGGTGCCGGCAGCCCACTGTGATGACGCCAGCAGTGCCGAGGGTGGGATCTGGGCCTCAGCCGGCAGGCACATGCCTCCCTGCACTATTGATGGCAGGTGCCAAAGCCGAGCAGGGCTGCCACCCCATATGCCAGGCTGCAGCGCCTCACTCAGATCTGACCCAACCGCCTGCCATCCTCCTAGGAACCGGTGCAAGCTGCTTAGGGAGGGACTCTCCATGGACACGACCACCAGGGCAGAACCTTGCCCCCTGACCCGAACCCAGAGGGACCTGCCTGTCAGCGTCGGGCGCTGGTTGGGTTGGGGCCAATCCCCTCCCCCTGCAGTGGGGGGAAGGGGGGGAGAAATGTGCTTGCAAATCAGCGCCCAGTGAAGGGGCAGTGGCCTGCAGCCGCCGTGACAACCCATGGCTCAGGAGGACAGCCGGCCCCACGGCAGGAGAGGAACAGCTGCAGATGGGTGGGCATGGGGACCCCCCCCCCCAGAGCAAGGTGGCAGCACTGATGCGGGTCGAGGAGAGCCAGATCTGACAGCACAACACTCGGCTCTAGCTTCAAAATTAGGCCTAATCAGACCTACACAGCCTGGGAGGGCCAGGGTCTTTGATGGGGGGGAGGGGCACGCCGGGCGGGGGGTCTCACCATGGGGCATGACCACCAGAGGCAGCTTCCTCAGACCTAGCCCCTTGCTGGGCTGTAGCAGGATGGCTTCGAAATCAATACCCTCTGCAAAGGAAGAGTGTGATGTCAGCGCTGGAGCCAGCCCTCCAGGGCCCAGTCCCCGACCCCTGATAGCACTCACCGTACTTTGGGTTCTCTTGGTCTGGGGGGGGCTGCAGGGGCCGGATCGCCCAGCTGATCTCTGGGACAGGGGTCACGTCCTCCAGACACACCCAGTGCACCTGGGCCTCCTGCCCGGCCCTGGGGAGGAAGGCCACCTTCTGCCAGGGGAAAGAGCCCATCAGTGGCAGGCGCAGCATGCTCGGGGAGTGGGGACATGACCCACCGGGAGAGGGGCGGTAGGATGCTCAGGGGGCTTTTGCAGACATCTTCTGGCAGCATTTGGGGAGGAAATGGCTGCAGCTGGCAAGGGGGGTTGACAAGGAAAGATTGATAGCATTGAACAAGTAAGCAGCCTGCATGCAGCGCCAGTGCCTGCAGCCCCCTGCTAGCCCAGCCTTGGGCTCCACCCCCTAGCTCTGCTGGTGCCCCTCACTCCTGCCCCACTGCTCCCTGCTAGCTCAGCGCCTGAGCAGGGAAACGCTTTGGGATGCTGGCTAGCGTGTGGTGTGGATGCAGCCAGTAAATTTTTATTCCTGAGTCTGCATGTGGGGTGAAAGGTCATAGCACAGCCTCCCACCCCGGCCCATTCCCCCTTACCAATGTGGGGGGGCAGCTGGGGGTCGAGAACCTGGCCACCAGGAGATCCCGGTCAATGGTGAGGAGAGACCAGCTGCCCAGGGGGGCACCTGCAGAGGGACAGATGCCTAGGTCATGGTCTGGAGCTCACAGGAGGAGGAGCCTGGGGGCAGCAGGGCTCCCAGCCCCTCCCACTGGGCATCCAGGGACAGCGCGAGCAGAGCAGGCTGCCGGGTACTTACCCATCGTCAGGGAGGTCACGCTACCAGTCAGCGTCTCCACCACAAGCAGCTCCTAGGGCGACACCAAGAGCTTTGTCAGAGGTGGGGCCGAGTCAGAGGCAGGGAGGGCCCAGCGCACCCCCAGCCTCTCTGCTCAGGGCTGGCCTGGGCCCCGTATGGGTGGGCATGGGGCCCAGGCCAGCCGGCTGCGCGTATGCCTGCAGGCAGCATAGCTGTGGGGCTGCCCTGCCCCAGTCCCCCACCCCAGTACCTGCCGGCTGCGCTGAGCGGTGTCCAGCACGACCCTCTGGCTATCGGCTGCCCAGCACAGGCCCGGCAGCGCTGGGCAATAGATCCCTGTGAACGTTCCTGCAAGGAGAGGGCCCCAGGCTCAGCGCGCTGTCCCCTGCACACCAGCCAGGCTGGTACAGGGCACACGCACCAATGGCCAGCAACAGGGAACCAAGCTTCCCATGCAGCTCCTGTTCAGTTCCCTGCCCCCACAGCTCTGCCAGTGCCCCTCACTCCTGACCTGCAGCCCCCTGCCCCGCCAACCTTGCCGATTCCCCTCACCCCACAGCCCCTCCTGAGCAGACAGCGCCGTGTGCTAACTTTCACATGGGGAGAGCGCCAGTCCCTGGGTGCCTAGCCTGCCTCATCGTCCTGCTGCACAGCTCCTCCCTCGTTCCCAGCGAACCTGGCCGGCTACTCACCCTGGCTGTGCCGGGGCACGACATCCAGCACGGTGGAGGTGACCTTCGTGTACCAGTCATACTGCAAGAGATGGCCGGGAGCACTCAGCATGGGGCTGTTCTGCAATGCTGCCCCCTCCTTCTGGGAGATCCAGGGCAGGGCTGGCGGCTGTTCATAGGGAGGCCCAGTGTGGTGGGGAGCCTGCCCTGGGTTAGCTAGACTCCAGCAGGCCTCTCCCAGCTCCCCCCGGGCACCTGAGGGAGCAGCAGCACTGTGCCACGGGCACCATTTGGTGCCTTACTGGGGGGCAATAAGTGCGACCCTGTGGGGAGCAGTGGGCACCAGCAGAGCGAGCAGGGCCAGGCCCATGTATCAGGGTGACATGCCCAGGGAAGATGGTTCGCGTTATGCCACCACGGGCACAGACACTCTGCTATGGCAGCGCTGGAGAAGCCCAAGTACCCAGCCTATGCAATGCGACCGATGACCGGCTCCCAGCAGGAAGTGCCACTGGCGGATATGGCCCACACGGCCTTGGCTGAGCGGCAAAGAGCCTGATGCCCAACCCCTGGTACTGGCTCCCCAGCCTGGCGGGACGCACTCACCATGCGGAGGCAGCTGCACTGCTGGTGGGGCCCGAGTACGCCGTTCTCCAGGTACACAATGCGGCACTGGTCAGGGCTCAGGCGTGGGGACCACACAGCCTTGGTGTCATCTGACAGCAGCTCTGCAGCGGGATGGAAGGCCGGGAGAGGAGTGTGGGCACAGGCAGGATGGGGGCAGGTAGGGCGGAGGACATGCAGGTGGGCAGGATGGGGGTCGGGCAGGGCAGGCCTCAGGCTGGATGGCGGCACATGGGCAGGCCGCAGGCTGGACAGGGGCATTGGAGCATGCAGAGTGGGGAGCACACAGGCAGGGTAGGGGGCATCAGACAAGATGGGGCACGTGGGCAGAGCGGGTACCACAGGCAGGGGGCATGTGGGCAGGGTGCAGGCAGAACGGGGACCGCAGGCGCAGGGGGAGAACACAGGCAGGGCGGGGCATGGACAGACCTGGGGCACACGGGCAGGGTACAGGTAGGAAGGGGACATGTGGGCAGAGAGAGGACCACGGGTAGGGCATGCAGGCAGAATAGGGTATGTGGGCAGAGTGGGGACTGTGGGCAGGGCAGAGGGCACACGGGCATCGTGAGGAATGGGGAGAGCGGGGAGCACACGAGCAGGGCGTAGGCAGGACGGGGACATGAGGGCAGGACACGGGCAGGACGAGGGCAGGGTGCAGGCAGGACGAGGGGACGAAGGCAGAGCAGGAGGCACAAGGGCAGAGCAGGGATCATGGGCAGGTGGCACACAGGAAGGGCACAGGCAGGGTGGGGGCACGTGGGCAGAGTGGGGACCGCGGGCAGGGCAGGGGGCACACAGGTAGGGCGTGGTCAGGATGGGGGATTGTGGGCAGGGGGCACATGGGCACAGTGGGGACCATGGGCAGAGTGGGGGGCACACAGGCAGGGCACTGGCTCAGAAAGCAGCAGCAGCGACTCACCACACCTCGCTCCTGTCAGGTCCACATAGAACAGTGCTGACCTGGGAACCAGAGCAGCGCGGTCATCACTGCACGGGCCCCACAGCTGCCCAACCCTCCTGCCCTACACTCGATGGGAGCAGCCAACCCAGCCCCCACTCCTGCCCCTGCCCCAGCTGGCAGATCGGAGCTGCAGCTCCCCAGGCTGAGTCTGGCAGCCCCAGCCCCCGGCAGCCCCTCCCTCTGCAGTGGCCACTGCAGCAGATGCCCGCAAGCTGGGGCCAGCTCTCGGAGCAGGGCTGGGTCAGCCCCAGTCTGGCCTTCTGTCCTGGCAGTGCAGCCCCAGCCTGCAGGTGCCTCAAAGGGCATTTCTCTGAGGGGTCCCACTGGCCTAGGCACACCCAGACATGGGGAGGCTCCTCTCCCCTGCGCCGGTCGCTCAGGCAGGGGCAGCTGGCAGCAGCACAGGGCACTCACCTGCGGTTAGTGCAGTGCCGCAGGCCCAGGCGGAAGGGCTCATGCCACCAGCCTATGAACACCACACCCATGTCACCAGGGGACCAGAAGGCCTGCAGGCAAAGTGGGAGAGCGCCAATGATCAAGAGGGGTGGGGAAAGAGAAGGTGGGGGAAGAACCTGGTTGGGGGGAAGGAGTGTCAGAGGGGGCCCAAGAGCAGCTAGAAACTCTCCCGCTCTATTTAAGGGAATGAAGCCATGAGTGGTGTCCTCCAGAGAACCAAAGCATGGCCCCACCCTGCTGGTTGACATCCTGGAGCACAGATTTCCCTGCTAAGGCACATCAGTCCCTCATGGAAACTGAGTAACCTGTGGATGCTGGTAGGGGCAGCTGCCATCAGAGGGAACAGACAGAGAGGTGTTTGGGGGCTGCTTTGGGCAGCCAGCAGGTGCAAGTTGGGCACTGCCAGCGCCTGGCTCCCCACGCCCATGCTGACCTGCCCAGGGGAGATGTGCTCCGGGACGCCCTCCAGCACTGACACATTGCCACTCTCCACATCCAGCACGCACAGGGCCGGGATGCTCTTGCCCACCAGTGCCTCGCCCCAGTCGTCGTGGTACACGAACTGCTCCCCCTGGAACACAGAGCCATGAGTGCCCCCTCCCCTAGGGAACCCCCCGACCCCCAGTCCTCCTGCTTTCTGGAGCAGGACAGCCCTGTGCCTCGGACCCAGGGCCGATCTGGCTCTAATTGCATTGCCAGAGCCCACAGGACAGCCATCCCCTGCCCCACAGGCCCAGCATCCCTGAGGGAAGCAGGGCATAGCACTCAGCGGCAGAGCCAGGAATTGTCCTTTGAGTCCCTGCTCACGGCTCTAGCACCATGCCTGGATTTCCAGCCAGTTGTGGGGGTGGGGCGAGTGGCCCACCCACAGCTTCAACTCGGGACCTCCAGCTGCGCCCCACACACCTTGACAGCCTTGTCGCGTCTCTCATCAGCACAGCTGCTGCTCAGCTCCGGGGCTCTGCTCTGGAAGAAGGACTCGGCCTTGGGCCGTTTCCTCTCAGCCACGTAAAGCAGGTGAGTCTCCGAGTGCGACCAGGACAAGCAGCCAAACTGATCTGGGGAAGTGCTAGTCAGACCCTGTGGGGTGGCACAGCCCAATGCCCCCACCATGGGGCCTGGGGACTCCCTTCGCCGCCCTCCCCACGCCCGGCCAGACGGCTGCAGGGCCCCCTTCGCCGCCCTCCCCACGCCTGGCCAGATGGCTGCGGGGCCCCCTTCGCCGCCCTCCCCACGCCTGGCCAGCCATCCCCCATCCTGCCCCACCCCACAGCCCCAACCCCTCCCCCAATTCAGGGAGAAGGCGGATCCATGGAGACCCAGCCTCACCATCCTCATAGACATTGCCATGCTTCTCCAGCACTGTCAGGTTGATGCTCTTCACCTTGCGATTCTGATCCCATATCTGGGGGAACAAAGACATCAGGGGCCAGGCCCCAGGACTGTGGGGTCACAGGGCAGATGGCAGGAGAATGGCAGCACAGGGCAGGGGGAACAGGCAGCTGTGATAGATATTGCTGGCAACAGCTGCCAGCTAGGGGGGCAGTTTGCCTGGCTGTAGAGTGGGGAACAGGGCCCCACCTTGCACTGGCTTGCTCCATCCACAAAGAGAAGGAGTGGGCTGGCCACGGCTCTGTCCATCCTGCCCCACACCAGCCCGGGATCCCACGAGGGTCAGGTCCGCTGGCCGGGCCCCAATGTGCCATGAGCAGTGCCTGGTAAATGCTGAGGGGAGAGCCACAGGGATTCCCACCCCAGCGGCCTGCTGGAACTACAGAGAAGGGATCCCTCCACCCCAAAGCCAGGCCTGAGGAGGGGCTGTCAGCAGCAGGGGCTGACCTCTTCCTTGAGTCCCGAGCATGGTCAGGCCAGGAAGACGCCTCAGCCCCAGACAGCAAGGATGCCGAGAGCTGCCCTCACTCTGCCCAGGGCTTTTCCCACAGCCCCAGCCTCCTATCGACTCACCTCAAGGAATTGCTTCTCCTCGCCTTTGCCAGGACTGGCTTTCCGCAAAACGGCCTTAAGTGCCCCACTGGGAGACTCCCTGCTCAGCAGCCTGCAGGGGGAGACAGGCTGGAGTGGGCCTGGGGGCATGGCATGGCTTGGGGACAGAAGACACACGGCCAGGGCTCAGGGAGTCCATAGGATCCTGGACCCACATGCACTAACCCACCCCACAGGGGTGCTGGGAAGGGTGGAGCTGGGGCTTGTTGTGATAATTTGGCCTGCAATTGACCCTGATGTGAGCTCAGTTGTGCAGGAGAGTGAACGTTCAAGCTGTCACAGTGACCTGTCATCCAAAATGGTGCAAGAAAATATGTACGAAGGTCCCCAAAGGACTGGGTGTTCTGGTCACGCCTGGTAACTACGAGGAGGAGGGGACCAGAAATCAGTGGACCAAACCTGGTGTCGGAAATTTGGCCTAATTGGTGGTCAATGGGCTATTCCACCCCTCTGCCTGTGGAGGCTGGAAAACAAATAGACTTGGGGGAAAATGAGGTGTCAGAGTTCTGGAACAAATTGATAAACTAAACACCAGAACCAGATGGTATTCACCCAAGAGTTCTGAAGGAACTCAAATGTGAAATTGCAGGACTACTAACTGTAGTCTGTAACCTATCATTTAAATCAGCTTCTGTACCAAATGACTGGAGGATAGCTAATGTGATGCCAATTTTTAAAAAGGGCTCCAGAGGTGACCCTGGCAATTACAGGCCAGTAAGCCTGACCTCAGTACCGGGCAAACTGGTTGAAACTATAATAAAGAACAAAATTGTCAGACACATAGATGAACATAATTTGTTGGGGAACAGTCAACATGGTTTCTGTAAAGGGAAATCATGCCTCACCAATCTACTAGAATTCTCTGAGGGGGTCAACAAGCACATGGACAAGGGGGAATCCAGTGGATATAGTGTATTTCGATTTTCAGAAAGCCTTTGAGAAGGTCCCTCACCAAAGGCTATTAAGCAAAGTAAGAAGTCATGGGATAAGAGGGAAAGTCCTCTCATGGATTGGTAACTGGTTAAAAGATAGGAAAACAAAGGATAGGAATAAATGGTCAGTTTTCAGAATGGAGAAAGGTAAACAGTGATATCCCCCAGGAGTCTGTTTGCCTCCGGTGCCGCGAGCAGCGGCACCGGAGGCAGCAAACAGGGCGGCTAACAGGGGAGTTTGAGAGGGAGTTTGCAGGGGGAGGTAAAGGGGAGGCAGGAGGGCGCGGCATGTTGTGTGCTCTGTGCCCGCAGATACAGAGACCAGAGACTACAGCAGCCATGAGCCAAGCAGCAGCAGACGGAATGCAGATGGCAGCATGTGGGAGCTGTGGTATGTATATAGTCCTAGCAGGGGACCTGGAACAAAGGTATGTGTGTATGAAGTGTCGCCTTATAGTGTTACTGGAGGAAAAGATTAGGGGGCTGGAGATGCAGGTAGAGACCCTGGTGGAGTTTAGACGGGGGTTTGAGCAGCTGATGGAGGATAGGCAAGGCGGGGCTGGAGGGGAATGCTCTAGGGCGGAGGAGGAGGCAGTAGTAGATGGCAGCGAGAGGGGAATGGAAGGGGGAGAACAAGGGAAGTGGAAGCATGTGACTGTGAGAAGCAGGCCAAGGAAAAGAAGGGCCAGTGAGGGGGGAATAGAACTCAGGAATAGGTTTGGGTGTTTGGATAACGAGGTGGAGGGGCAGCAGGTGGTGACTGAAGGTGAGAGGGTGAGGAAGAAGAGAAGAGCAGCTAGTCCGAGAGAGAGAGGGGAGGAGTTGATGGAGACAGCACCAATTCTGGGCCCCCGGAGGATTCAGGAAGGCATAAGGGGCAGCATAAGGGAAGATAGGAGCAGACACAGGTCAGGACTAGAGGGAGCGGAGACTAGATTACTAGATCGCACTGTTGTCAGGCAACGGCAGGTGTATGTAATTGGAGACTCTTTACTGAGGAGATTGGACAGGCCTGTGACCAGGGCGGACCCGGAGAATAGAAGGGTGTGCTGTCTACCAGGCGCAAAGATACGCTATGTGGACATGCGGTTG